ATCAGTATCCCATTGGATTAAACCACTTTGAGTGTATGATTCTGAGATAGAACTTTGCCAACACTGGCATCCCAGCCTTGGGGCTGGGATGAATATCATAAAAGCCCCTATTGTCACACTTAGGAAATAATCTCTCGTTTCTGTTTCCATAGCGGTCTAAGAATGCCCAAAAAACATCAAGGTAAAACAGTTTATGCCTAGAGCAGCGATCAAAGATCAAATTATTCATAGCACAAACATTACCAGGGATTTTCTCTTGTCCGTTGGGGTGGACTGGTGGAATAGCTTGTACAAAAACACGTGCATTTGGATAAAGTTTTTTTGCTGTCTTCATAAGGTCACTCACAGGGGTCTTGAGATGATTGACCCCCTGGGTACAGTACCGGATGTCGTTGGCACCGAAGCTTAAGAACAGTTTCTTTACCTGCACAAGAGGGTTCTTTGTATAAAAGGCCTCAATAGATTTCTGTATAGCTGAGATCTTAAGCCCACCCTTAGCTATGTTGGTGACAGTTTCTTTACCTCTACTGAGGCGATCAGCGTCCAATCGAGCAGCAAAGGAGTCACCAGCAATGAGAATGATAGACTTCTGGTGTTTTTGAGAGTCTGTGATGGGGGCTTTTGGGGATACTTTATTAGGACTGTCGGATGTAGGAGAGGGAAGAATAGGAGATGAAGGGGAAGAGGAAGAGGAAGGTGTGGCTAACTTTCTGAAGGAGAGACTATACCTCCAACAAGTTTCATTGTCAGAAGGTGCAACTCCTGGGGCAATCCTGTGCCTCATGACTTGCTGTGCACCAGGCTTCATGATGTTCAGTGTGCCATTGGTGGCAGGGAGGGTGAAGTCTGCGTTAATCAACTCTTGGGCTGGCCTTGACCTAGAGGCCCTAGTTGTGCGTTGTTCTACTTGGGTTGTATCCAGTACAAACTCAAGTGACCGTGGAGCTCCTATTGAGTAAGTGCAAATGGAGCTGGACTGTGATATTATTAGGTCTTCATCGTCTTTATGGAGGCTTAACTTAGCTTGCTGAGTGTTGTACCTAGTAACAAGGCAAGCATCCATGTTGTTGGTGGTGGAGGGGAGGTCATTAATAAGTCCCATCAACTTAAAGATGCTAGGGAAGTTGTTGATGGGATGTGGCTTGTTAACTATGTTACCAAAGCAGTAGTCTTCTGATGAAGGGCTTAGCCATAGGGTGTGGACTTTTTTAGATTTGCCTTCAAGATTCATTGAATCCAATTCTTCTGTGATTTTCTTGAATAGGTTTTCGTTCATTCCAGGGAGGACTGGGACGTGCTCTACGAGCGCATGTGGGCTATACGAGACATTTTGAACAGTAGTTTCCTTCTTCGTTTTCTTTTCCTTCTTCTTTTCATCTAACCGTTCTATCTTTGAAGCAAGCTTTTCCTCTTTCAGACTGTCCAGGATACTCTCAGTGAGGAGGGTATGCATGTGTTGCTTTACTTCAAGAGATAAGTTTTGCAGTAAGGCGGGGAAGTTGGCGGGCAGTGTTGGCATCTTGTTGTGAAGTGTGGGAGGATCGGGAGGAGACTGGGTGATCCGGATAAGAGATCAACAGCAGGATGTTTCAGTGGCACCGTTATAAACCCTAGCAATCTGGATCTGAAACAGTCAATAGGCCAGAGATTTATAGTTCAGAGTGAAAAAAATTGAATTATAATGAACAGAGTTGTGGTAAAGAACTGTATAGCAGAAAAAAGAATGCAATACTTATCTAAGGGAGAAGTAGCTAAAAGGAGTTAACAAATTTCAAACATCACTAGATCTCTAACAATTAAACTAACCTCGTACCAGACCGCAGGAGCCCTGGAAGTACAAGACTACCAGGGCAATAGGAAGAAACGATTACCACCTCCACAACATGCCATCTAACTCAGATCCATCACACCCAGGACACCGGCAGACTTTACTCCAACGGATTACTCATCGGTAGCCATCCCTCATCATACTCAAATTATTTGTTATATAGTAGTGTTGAAAGTATTAAAACATGACTTTTGATTCAAATTGATCCAAATTCAAATATCAAATATTAAAAAAGTACAATTCAAAATAAAAACAAGCGATAACTCAAAGCAAAATCGGTTGTTTATAGATCCTTCAATTTTACACGCAATAAATATCATCAATCAAATCAAATTAAATCAGTACATGGTTGCATGCATGCCATTGTCATACGTTGTATGACCCACCGCGCGGTCACAAGTGCACGGCCCCCGCCCCTGCAATTAGTGAAACGACAATGGGGGTAACAACGTGTGAAACAATGGTTGAATTGGTTGATTTACAAAATAAGCGCGGCGCACTTGTCATACGTTGTATGACCCGCCGCGCACGAGTGCGCGGCTCCCCTGTATCGTAGAAACTCTATATGAAACGACATTGGGAGTCACCACGTGATACAACGGCGCACGTACCACAAAAATTAATATGCGAAATTTGCATTTTGCATACAATTTTAATGAACCGCCGCGCACGAGTGTGCGGCTCCCCTGTATCTATTGCTCTAACCAGAGCCCTCTCGCTTGCAGTAGCGCGCAACCGCCTTTGCTCTAACCAGAGCCCTCTTACTGGGCCGCGCTCAGCCTGTCTTTCCGCCTAATCTTTATGTTTATGAACATAATAGCCTGAGGTCCCCAGGTAAGGGCCCTCTCGCTTGCAGTAGCGCGCGACCGCCGAAGGCGGCAAAACTTGTGAAACAAGCGCGTCACGCAATACGCGTGTACACATGGCTATGTGAACAACCGCCTTGTGAAACAAGCGCGTCACGCAGTACGCGTAGACACATGGCTATGTAAACTGTATCTAAATCGCGTAGAAACTCTACTATAGTGAAACAACCGTGGGGGTCACGACTTGATGCTTGTAAATTTACAACCGAACCTACCAGGACGCGCGTTGACGGATGTTACTCGTCTAAATTTCTTCGAAGTAGCGCGGCGCGCGCCGCTTTCTTCTCGAAATGGCCCGATGGCAAGTGCTACAAAGTAGCGCGCCGGGTCAGACCATTAACAATGGTCAAGGACGCGCGCCGAGTTGGACTCGTCGACGGTCCTAATATATAATAATATATTGAACAAATATTTTACGAGTATCACCCGTTAACGTGATACACTGATAAAAGCCACTGTACTTCGATGCGCCGCGCGAACTTATATTTTTGCTTTTCAATTTCGATCGTCGAAGCAAATATGTCGGATACTTTAACTTACATGAATACCACTGTGCCCTGTTCGGATGCCTTCCGAAATAGCTTCTTTCATATAATTATGCTGAAATGGAATAGTCTACCAGTATGTATCCGGCAGTCAGACCGGATTTCTACTTTTAAGGCCAATCTGATCAAGTACCTTTGGGCTGCCGATACAGTCTGGCCAGACTAGTCTCAGAAATGTGTTTTTGTTGGTTACAATTCTGTCCGTCCAAATTCCTGTCCGCTTGTCCTTCTTTTTTCTTTTATCAGTTGTGACGGAATTGTAATGAACAAAATCCATATATAATTATTTATGATATGTTTGATTTCTTGTTATTGTATGTCATTCAAATTTGGTAGACGGCCCCAACTTTAATGTGGCTTTTGTTATATGTTGGTTCAGCCGAATTAATTATTATGTAATCAAGTTTATTTTTTCTTTTAGTTAGTTGTCATCCGGCCAAACATTAAGCAACCTATATTGCAGCACCATTTTACAATTAGAATATTAAAATATGTCATTGTAATTTTGCATGGCTGAAATGTAACGCTTGATTTGTATATATAATAATTAATTGAATTTTCAAATTAAAAAAAAATGGCTAGCGTCGCGCGCAGCATAACAGACGCTTCCTACACACTTAATTATAGGGGAGTGGTCTATATTGCGAAGGAGCAGACTTTTGTCGTCATTGCAGGTCCATCGGGCCACCTCATATATCTAAACCCGATTACTTATTCCCTACGATCTTTTTGCCTTCGGCAAGAGTAGGGAAAAAAATCCTGCGCACTCTCCTGTTAAGGCACAATGCTCAAATAATTGATAGGTCGGATACTTCAAGTTTCAACTTACATGAGTACTACTGTGCCCTGCTCAGATGCCTTCCGAAATAGCTTCTTACATAGATCTATGCTGAAATGGAATAGTCTATCAGTATGTATCCGGCAGTCAGAGCGGAATTTTACTTTTAAGGCTAAACTGATCAAGTACCTCTGGGCTGCCGATACAGTCTGGCCAGATTAGCTCATCAGTCTTCTCATTTGATTCCCAAAAATGTGTTTTCGTTGGGTATAATTCTGTCCGCTTCTCTCCCCTATTTTTCTTGTGCTCAGTTGTGACAGAATTGTAATGAGCAAAATACTTATAATTATTTATGATATGTTTGATTTCTTGTTATTGTTTGTCATGCAAATTTTGTAGACGGCCCCAACGTTAATGTGGCTCTTGCTATGTGTTGGTTCAGCCGAATTAATTATTATATAATCTAGTTTATTTTTCTTGTTTAGTTAGTTTTCATTCGGCCACACATTATGCAACTTATATTGCAGTACTATTTATCATTTAGTATATCAAAATATGTAATTATGATTTTGCATGGCTGAAATGTAACGCTTGATTTATATAATATAATATATATACAGGTTGGGCCTCAAAAGTCTACCCGTCCTTATCTCTTAAAATTGTAACAGCTCGCTGAGATCTCACTAATTATTTTTAAAACAAAAAGTGGCATAACTTATGTTCTGATAAATATTTTTGCTTCTAAATTTCACAGAATGTTAATAACAAGTAGATAAACCTTTGTGGCAAGTTTTGTGTGATTGCAAGCTTCACTGAGCTTATTTGACCAATTTAGCCCCTGAGCGGGCTAGCTTGAATTTCTCACCCAGAAATGTTTACATTTGTTAACAGGAACCACCAAAAAAAATCCTGGGTAACAAAATAAAAAACCAGCGATTTATTCACGTTTTACCAATTCTATTCACATGAATTTTAAACTAATTACAACACTACAAATCTATTACATTTATTGAGTTCAGGGATGGCTAACAATGGCGGGCAAACGGGTCACATCGATAGTGACCCAGCCAGTACAGAAACTAACGAGAGAAAGGAGATATGCTTCTATTGTCAGAAGTATGATGAACCACTTGCGAGAAAGAAGATTGTTTGGCTAGGTTGTTCAACATGTGAGAATTGGTGGCATAGTAGTTGTGCCGGTTTGGCTGGTCTAACCGTTACAGATGTCAAGAAGCTGACAGTGTGGAACTGCCACTTTTGTTTCGTTTTGCCTGAGAAACTCAAATTTGAAAAACTTACTGATGACGTTGCTAAAGAACTGACAAGTGTTATACAGACTGCTGTCAGCGCCAGTGTGGAACAATCTATCCAGAAGGTTCTTGTAAATGATGTTGTTTCAGAAGCCAATAAGAAGATACACAAGAGTTGGGCTGAGATAGCCAGTGGGCAGCAGAAGAAATTGATAGCTGAAGTGTGTCAGCACGCAGCAGGCCCTGCAATAACCACCATCTCACAACAGATTGATGCTAACATGCAGGAAAGGAAAAAGCGGGAGAATAACATTGTTCTGTCAAACTTACCTGATGAAGATAAGGAAAATGAGAGTCAGGAACAACTAAAGGCTATCATCTGTCGACATGCAACAGATCTTAACCAGAGTGACATTGTATCAGCAAAGAGAATAGGTGTATTTGGCAACGTCAACCGTACAAAGTACAGGGGAAGAATGGTCATTGCGAAGCTAAAGAGTGAAGAGTTAGCTACTTACACACACAACCATGGACGCGGGTTTGCTTATCATGGAAAAAAGAAAAGTGATGATGTATGGATAAATCCTGACTTGATCAAGGCGGATCGAGATATCCGGTGGAACACACGCAATGCTAAACTGGAAACTGATAAGAGGACGAAAGTAACTGCTGACAAACCACCCAAAGAGGAACTGCCAACTGATGTGGCTTCTGTAACAAATGTAGAGCATGCGGATAATAAAGAAGATGTTGTCCAGAATGCTGTGAAGTCAAAAAACGAGTAGCGAGTTGCGTAAAGGAATCACAGGGTATCAGGATGCTGTACACTAATGCTAATTCCCTGTACAATAAGATGACGGAACTCATGGTTTTGTCAGAGACTCACGACGTTCAGATCATTTGTGTGACAGAGTCCTGGCTAAATTCAGATATTGTTGACGCTGAAGTGTCTATTCCTAATTTCAACCTCTTTCGTGCAGACAGACCTAATGATACACGTTTTGGGGGATCTGCTATCTTTGTCCACAAAGCACTGAGGGTAGAACGATTGGATTGGTTTACTGGTCTTGAATCACTTGCGGTAAATATTGTAATCGACTCTGTTAGGTTCAATGTTGTTTGTCTGTATCGGTCTACTTCACTTGTTGATATGAAGGACAATGCTGGCCTGTTAGGTGCTCTTGAACGTTTACCAGTTAATGTTAGAATCTTAATTCTATTTGTAGCTTGTTTTTGTACTTACATATTACTAACCCTGTATCTCACTTTAGCAAAGGTTTAGTTCCAGTGATTGTATATACAGTGTTGGGGTAAAGGGACTCCAGAAGGCAGACAAGGCTCGACTCCAGACTCTAGTTGAAGTAACAGAAGAGAGAGGAGTGTCCAGTGTTTAGTTGACTCCAGACTCTAGCGTAGCAGAAGGGAGAGGAGTGACGTTGTCGACTCCAGACTCTAGCGTAGCAGAAGGGAGAGGAGTGACGTTGTTTTAGTGATCCCACAGATTCCAGTCGACAGATACTATCTGTGTTCTGTGACGTGGAAAGAGTGGTAAGTAGTTTATAGTTATAGTTTAGTAGTTTAGTCTAGGAGATCCCGCTTCCTCTTTCACTTTCATTTATAGTTTCACGTGGATTACCTTTCACTTTACTCACGGTCGTTTTCCCCCAGGGTTTTTTTTTTTTTTTTTTTTTTTTTTTTTTTTTTTTTTTTTTTTTTTTATAAATACAAATTAGATGAATAAAGAGGTTATACAAATCTTGTGTCAAAAGTAACCTTGTTACTCTACAATGTACTCTCTTAAATAGTGAATGATTGATATGGTGTGACTCAGTAACTCACACTACTCTGCTCTGACTAATAGTTAAAACACATTTCAATACTAAACTAAACAATGTCTTTTTTACTATTAGATTAAACTACTATTAAATTAAAACTACTACTCCTGATGATGATGTTCTTCTTACTATATGAGGGACTTCTGAATGATGAGGACTTCAAGTAAAACTGGAACTGATAACTATAAAACAAAAAACCCTGGGGGAAAACGACCGTGAGTAAAGTGAAAGGTAATCCACGTGAAACTATAAATGAAAGTGAAAGAGGAAGCGGGATCTCCTAGACTAAACTACTAAACTATAACTATAAACTACTTACCACTCTTTCCACGTCACAGAACACAGATAGTATCTGTCGACTGGAATCTGTGGGATCACTAAAACAACGTCACTCCTCTCCCTTCTGCTACGCTAGAGTCTGGAGTCGACAACGTCACTCCTCTCCCTTCTGCTACGCTAGAGTCTGGAGTCAACTAAACACTGGACACTCCTCTCTCTTCTGTTACTTCAACTAGAGTCTGGAGTCGAGCCTTGTCTGCCTTCTGGAGTCCCTTTACCCCAACACTGTATATACAATCACTGGAACTAAACCTTTGCTAAAGTGAGATACAGGGTTAGTAATATGTAAGTACAAAAACAAGCTACAAATAGAATTAAGATTCTAACAGTTAATGCGGATGAAGAGTTGGTGATAGTTGGCGATGTGAACCTACCTCATGTTAACTGGGACAAAAGTTTAGTCGAGCGCCCACCAAACTCATGTGACAGAAGGTTGCTGATGGAATCAGAATTCTTGAATGTCTTTACCAGGAAAGGTTTGAAGTGGTATGTCACTGGGTCTTCGACACGTGTCAGGAAGGTTGGTGATACAACTCAATGCTCCTTGCTTGATCAGGTCTTCTGCAATAATGATTGTTTTGTAAATAATGTTGATATCCTTGCTCCTCTGGGTAAAAGCGATCATGTATCACTACTGGTCGAGCTGAAAGTCAAAAACAATGTCGAGTTCCTTACATCTAAGAAGAAAAGCTGGTATAAGGTGGATCAGGACTTTGTTAACACACAGTCATCAGACATCAGCTGGGGGTACTCTAGAGAAGATCTTCAGGTCGAAGAGATGTGGGAAGAATTACACCAAAAACTTAGTGTCATTTCAGATCGTGTTCCAACCACCCACCTTAAAACAACTAAAGGTGGGGAGATCTTACAGAGGTTACCCTGGGATTGCTCTAGTCTGGTTAGGAAAAGAAAGTGCAAGGACCGGGCATGGAAGGATTTTGACGAGGATCCTACGATGGTGATGTTTAACGCAGCCGAGTACGAGCAGCGGATGTACCAGAACGCTGAGATTAAGGCAAAGATCAAATATGAGAATAACGTGACTAAATTGTTTAAGTTAAATTGTAAACCTCTTTTTAATTACCTTAAATCTAAAAGTGTTTTAAGAAAATCTGTAGAAAGACTTAAAACAGATGATGGTTCTGAGACCAAGTCTCCTTCTGAAACGGCAGAAGTGTTAGCTGATTTTTTCCAGTCAGTTTTTAAACCTGAACCTTTTGGCCCTCTGCCTCAAAATTGTTATACAGAATGTAATAATGATTACTTCTGGAGTAAATTTATGGTGCACCCTGAAAGTGTTGCCAAGATTTTGGGATCACTAGATATTAGTAAAGCTATGGGTCCTGATGGTGTTCATCCTAGACTCCTGAGGTATTTAAGTGAGAACAGTTCCTTTGTGGATGCGGTTGTGTTGCTGTTTAGTGCCTGTGCTTCTGAGCAGTATATTCCTGAGGTATGGAAAACTGCCACTGTTGTGGCCTTGCACAAAAAGGGGTCAGTACATAGTCCTAATAATTACAGGCCTGTGTCACTGACTTGTATACTATGCAAAGCCTATGAGAAGCTTCTTAGGGAGTATATTCTCGACGGTGTTGAACAGGTGCTTAGTAGCACGCAGCACGGCTTCATGAAGGGTCGGTCATGCTTATCTAACCTACTGGAGTCTATTGACGCTGTCAATGACTTGCTGGCTGAAGGTGGCTGTGCTGATATATTATACTTTGATTTCTCTAAGGCCTTTGATAGCGTACCACACCACCGTTTATTAGTTAAATTAAGAAATGTTGGTGTTCCTGAGGAGATAATTGGTATTTTAGAAAACTTTTTAGTATAGGGAGGTCTATGAAAGTTAAAGTAGGAGATGAATTTTCTGAGATTAAGTATATACTTTCAGGAGTGCCCCAAGGCAGTGTTTTGGGACCATTGCTCTTTCTTTTATTTGTAAATGATCTTCCAGAAGGAATCAAAGCTATCATCAAACTTTTTGCTGATGATGTTAAAATGATTGTTAATCCTTTTATTAATCTAACAGCTGATTTGAAGTTGCTAGAACTTTGGGAGTCTCGTTGGTGTTTAAATTTTAATGTAGATAAGTGTATGGTCATGCAAATTGGTTCTTGTAATCCTAAGAATCAGTACTTGTTTGGTGGTGTGCCTTTGAGATGTGTTGAAAGCGAGAAGGACCTTGGAGTTGTCTTTAACACCAGCTTCAACTTTGAGGGTCATGTGAGAAAGTGCATTGCTAAAGCTAATAGTACCATTGCCTGGCTTACAAGAAATATTATATCGAGGGAGAAAAGCGTTATGCTGGGCTTGTATAAGTCTTTAGTAAAGCCTCATATAGAGTATTGTTCACAGGCATGGGCTCCAATGGCTAGGCATGGAAACTGGTCACTGATTCTTGAATTGGAAGGTGTTCAAAGATCGTTCACCCGTATGATTGATGGATTGGGACTCATGACGTACAGAGAGAGACTGGATAAGCTGAACCTCACAACCCTGCTTGAACGCAGGGTTCGTGGAGATCTCATTGAGATGTTCAAGATCCAGGAAGGCTTTGTGGGTTATGGTTCCGATTTATTTGGTCGTTCT